TTGGGCTAATGGCAGAAAGGAAAATGGTCTTACAGTCAACCTTCTACATCTACAGTGAAGCGTGCTGTGGGTAAAAATATAAGTGTTAGCTGCATCTCAGCCAGTATGATTGGAGATCAACACAAATACTACATCTACAGTGAAGCGTGCTGGGGGTACAGATATAAGTGTTGGCTGCATCTCAACCAGTATGATTGGAAATCTACACAAATACTTCATCTACAGTGAAGTGTGCTGGGGGTACAGATATAAGTGTTGACTGCATGTATAATTGAAGATCTAAACAAAACGAATGGTTTCCTGGCTACTGACAAGTACAAGAATATTCTTAACCATCGTTTCATTCTTTCCAAAACAATACCTATTGGGCAGGAATTTATCGTCTAACAATATAGTGATCCAAAGATTGGAATAACTGTGGAAGGATAAAGGAGGACGATGGAACACTCGAAGTCATGGCTTGGCCTGCACAAAGTTCAGTCATGAATATTATCAAGGCTATGTAACTTTTTGCTCACAGTTCGCAGATGATGCTGCAATCTGGAAGAGTACCCCAAACCCAACAACAGCAACATACAATATACAACCACTACTAAACGAAATAGAACTGTACTGCAATAAGTGGAGAATTAAAATTAATGCGCACAAAACACAAGTCATATTATTCAGAAAATCGTACAAAACAAGCAAATCAATATCACAGTTATGTCTAGACGAGACTCTGTTACAGGTAGCAACATCAGCAAAATTCTTATGGATTACATTTGACTCAAAATTAAACTGGATACCGCACATTAATAGCATAAAAACCAGAATTTGGAAAAGCACGAGTTACCTTAGGATCCTGACTGTCAACAAACAAGGAGCTTCCCCAGAAAACATATTAATAATTTACAGAACATACACAAGATCAGTCGTAGAATATGCCTGTATAACATGGATAAATGTATCAAAAACACACATCAACAAAATACAAAACTGTATTTTAACGAAAGCATATAGAGTCCCAAGATCAACAAATTCAGAATTTCTACAGAACTATTCAAACATGCCAACTCTATCAGACAGACTCCTAGAAAACTCGCTTCAATATTATAAGAAAAATATTAATAAATATGAAATGATGAGCAAACTAGAGAGTTACATAGTACATGATGAACCAAGCCCTAAGTACCTCTTCCCCTCTAAACATCATAAATAAGAATCTTACAGGCTAAACAGTGCTAGGCTAACTGAATCCTAAACACAAACGCAGCTCTATTTTAAAAGAGTTTTGTATGGAAAAATAGGATTGTGTATGTGTGTATATATATGACTGCTAAGTAGCACTGTATTGTGAACACGGACTAATAGTGCGATAATATATAAATGAAGCTAGTGAAAATATACAAGTTAATATTGAATTGGACGTGCCACGAAAATGGTATGTTAATTAAAACTGCGGACAATGGACAAAATGTAACATAATGTGAGTAATGAAACAACAACGTAACAAGGGTTATTACCTAGGATTCAGTAACAATGCACACGAAATAACAATTCCAGAGAGGTTGGAAGAGGTCTACGCTGAATCTGACCTTCCCTGGTCCAAAACATGGACCGAATCCCGATGTGGGATCAGGGCTGTGTGGACTTGAAACTGGATATTAACAATGCCTTTCAATCATACATTGATGAACTTATGGTAACAATAGCAACAAGGTGTATCTACTCTGTTTAAGATAAATACAAAATACTAATAAATTGAACATTTTGCTCTATTTTTTTTCTGTTTTCGACAATAAAGTATTGGGCAAATAATCAATCGATCACTTGATTGCAGTTACTCATAGCTTGGGATTCCCGTATGTGAACCTTATGCCCCAATTTACAGTATGCTTAAGCACATCTCTCTCATCTTTTGGTTCTTAGCTTGGGACTCCCGTATGTGTACCTTATGCCCCGACACAAAAGTCGATTGTCATTGTAAGTTTGAGGAAATTAACATTGATTTACTTGTTTCTTTGTAGATATTTTTGCGAATGGTACCTTACGTTAATGAATGTATGCAAGTGGCTTAAACTGAACGTCTTTATTAAATCTGAAATAGGCTGAATGTTTGTACACGTTTACAGAATATGTTCTAAATATTTGCGGCAATCGACTTTCAGAACGGCTTGTAGATGGGGAGCAATCTCATAACGTTATCTTATGACAATTTTACTCACTGTTTCCATGACTACTTCCAATATATATATCACTAATTATAAAAGCTTATTCCCTTTGTCACTCTGTCGACAACGCTTACATGCTCCTTTTTTGGTAATGCTCCACAATATACATCGTCGCCTAAGAATAATCAGATGATAGTTTAGTTGCTAAGCGACGATGTATATTGTTGAGTATTACCAAAAAAGGATCATGAAAGGTTTCTCGACAGAATGATAAAGGGAATAAGCCCTTTATAGTTAATGATACATATAATTCACTAGTTCTAATACTACAAATTGCATCATTTTGTGATAATAATTAAAAGGGTAAAGGTTGGGATTCATACAAATGTGGAAATATAGGATGGTTTATTTCTACTACAAGACTATTTTAACAACTGCCCTTTATGTCTAAATATTAGGGGGTAACTGTTTTCCCACAACTGGCTCTAGAGAGGGAAAGGCAGTAAGAGTTGAAACGCTGTGGATCTAAGCACCCAACTCCTAATTTAACTTTCCATATCAGCTACTTAGCTCGACATCTGCGTTTGGAACATGTCTGATAGTTAGAATATCCTAAACGCTTTTGGAACTATAACCACAGATATTTTCCGTTTTGAGTTAATGATAATGACAAGGACTGGCAATGGACAATTTTCTTTGTGTTTTTTTAAGTCTCATAGTGAACGTGTACATAATGAAGAACGGCTATGAATGCTGGCTTAACCGCAGTTTTGGAGAAGCCTAACATTTGCAGGGCCTAAAGAATTCGTTGTTAAACGAATTCTATAAACTCCTCCAGAATTAACCTAGATTCAATCACTCATGGTTACAAAACAGATGTAGACTGCTAACGTTTTGTTTTTTTGTGTATTTTTTCAGGTACTTAAACTGACATAGAATGAATTACACGTGGGAAGTTTAACCGAAAAAATGTCATTATTTATTTTCAATGTTGTCATAACAGTTTGAATAAAAGCTTGGTACGTGTAGGTGTGTTTGCGCGCGATAGCGTGTCGTAAGGGCTAAATTGTAGTCACTATTATTTCTTCTTGTTTTTATTCTGGTCATAAGACTAGGTTGAATGATTAATGGTTTTGTACTTGACCACTTTATTAATCTAAGGACTAGTCCTTTTTTTTCGTTCTAATTTTTAATTTAGTATATAAGTGTCTT